CCTGCATGTCCTCCCAGCCACCCACTCTCCTGTTTCTCACCCCCACAACCACCCAGCACCATGGCCCCCACCTCCGGCAAGAAGCCCGCCCCGGCCAAGAAGGCCGCCAAGGCCCCCAAGGAGGGCAAGAAGGGCAAGAAGACGAAGAAGGGCACTGAGAGCTACAAGCTCTACATTTTCAAGGTGCTCAAGCAGGTGCACCCCGACACCGGCATCTCCTCCAAGTCCATGGCCATCCTCAACTCCTTCATCGCCGACCAGTTTGAGAAGATTGCCACCGCCGCCGCCCAGCTGTCCCGCGTCAACAAGAAGCCCACCCTGACCTCCCGCGAGATCCAGACCGCCGTGCGCCTGGTGCTGCCCGGCGAGCTGGCCAAGCACGCCGTGTCTGAGGGCACCAAGGCCGTCACCAAGTTCACCTCCGCCTAAGCGCAAGGCCGCCCGCAGCCCACACACTCAAACAAAACTGGTGTTATTCAACACCACCACCGCTCACTGGGAATCAATGCACTTGCTTGAGGGAGAAGGGCAGCAGCCAGTGGAGGGGTGTGTATTGGCGGCAGCGTGCCTGCTCCCCTTCCCGGGCAGGCGGCAAAGGGGTGGGGGGCTACAAGGGAGAGCCCCGTGCGAGCCTGTTCACAGCGCCGCTGCCCTGCTCCACGACTGCCGCTGGGCTGTGAGGCTGGCTGGCGGCATGAGAGCGGCAAGGAGGGGAGGTGGCTGCTGTGCGCCAAAGGCTTGCATCGCTGTTGCTGGGAGCTTGCCCTGCGGAAGAAGCCAGCAGCTCTGTCGCCGTGGCTGGCAGGCTCATCACCCTTGCCTGGCCACGCTGGAACGCTTGGCGGGCGGGGCTGGCTGGCGTGGTGGGTCATTGCGTTCCTTTGCGAAGCTTGCAAATCAGCCATTGTGTGTTGAAAAACAAGGAAGCAAACAGAACGGGAAGCGCTGTTGGTTCACTCCAGCAGCCCCGCCGCCTGCAGCCCCACCACCAGGCTGCGCACGGTGAAGCTCGGGAGCAGCACCAGGTTCGCCAGCGGCAGGTTGGTCAGTGGGGAGCAGGGCGGCTGGCCTGCCGCTGCCTGGCGTGCCATCCAGGCTGCAGGGCAGGCAGAGAGGAAGGGCAGGGGTGGGCTGGTGGGCTGCCAGCAAACAACAGAAACGTGGGGTCACGAAACACGCCGCTGGGCACAGGCGTGCGCTGGATGCTGCTGCGCTCCCTCCGCCCCCACCCACCCACCCTCAATGGCGGCTCTCTCGTAGGTGCGCCCATCCGCCGCCACCACAGGGTCACGCATCGGCTCCTGGGTGATGGGGCACAGCAGCTCGCTGAGCAGGCCAGGGGGCAGGCTGGCAGCGGCAGGAAGAGGGGCCTGGCCTGCTGGCGCAGCGCCCGGGGCGGGGCTGGCTGGCGCTGGTGCTTCCTCTGCCGCCGCGCTCGTGGCTTGCAGCGGATTGCTGACGGCAGCGAAGGAGGATCCTCCCTTGCTGGCTGCACTCCCAGCTGCTGCAGCAGCTGCGCCAGCTCAGCACCGTCGTCGGCACCGCTGCTGCCTCCAGCTGCTGACGCTATTGCTTCTGCAGGTGCCCCTTCAGCTCTCCCGGTGGGGGTGGCACCAGCGCTTCCACCTGCTGCCTGCGCGTGTGGTTGGGCTGCCGCCGTCTGTGCTCCTCCCTTGTTGTTCTTCTTCTTGCTCTTTTTTTTGCCGCTCCCCTGCCGGCTGTCAGCAGCAGCAGCAGGCGCGGCGGGCGTAGCTGGGCAGGCAGCGGAGGTGAGCTGCTCTGCCGGCTCCAGGCTTGCCGTGGCCGGCGTAGATGTGCCTGCAGCTGCCATTGATACATCTTCTGCCTGCTCAGAAGCCGGCTCTGGCAGCACAGCCTGGCCTACAGCAGTCTCACCCGCCTCTCCTACCGGCACAGCAGCCCGCTGGCGCTGCCGCTCCTTCTGTCGCTGCCGCTTGGCGGCCTTGGCCGCCTGTCTGGCCGCCTGCTGCGCCTCCTCGCGCTCCTCCTCTGCCAGCAGCTGGGCAGCAGCAGCCTGTGCTGCAGCCTCGGAAGCAGCTGTGGAGGCTGGAGCAGCCCCCGGGGCTTCAGCCTGCTCCCGCCGTGGGGCCCTGCTGCCGGGGGCACTCGACTGCCGCCTTCCCGCCTGCTGCTGCTCCAGCTCGAACAGCAGCGGTGCTGCTTCCAGCTGCTTATGCTTCATCGCACACATGCAAGGGGTGAGGCCATCCACATCCCGCTGCACCATGCTCGCCCCTGCCGCAACCAGGCAGCGAATGGCTGGCAGGCGGCCGAGTGCTGCTGCCCAGTGCAGGGCTGTCTGCTGCCGACTGTCGGCTGCCTCAAGATTGGCATGGCCAGCGATCAGTAGCCTGAGGCATGCTGTGTGCCCGGCGGCGGCTGCGAGGTGCAGGGGCCTGTTGCCGCAGGCGCCGAACCTCTCCACCTTTGCCCCCGCTGCCTGCAATGCCTGCACACATGCCTCGAGGCGCTGCCAAGCTGCCAGCAGCAGCCCTGTGTGCCCAAGCCAGTCTGCAGCATTCACGTTTGCCCCCGTTGCCAGCAGGGCGCTGATACAGGCCTCGTGACCCCCGGCTGCAGCATGGTGAAGTGGCGTCTGCCCTTGTTGGTCTACTGCGTCGAAGTTGGCTCCCGCTGCCAGCAGGGCTTGCAGGCAGCCCAAGTGGCCTCCCGCGGCGGAAGTATGCAGCGGCTTCTTCCCACGGCTGGCAGCCGCTTCAATGTTTGCCCCCGCCGCCAGCAGCTCCCGCACGCAGGCCTCATGCCCCAAACCCGCCGCCAGGCAAAGAGCTGTCATGCCCCCATCAATGCTGGTCGCCTTGGTGCAGGCACCAGCCGCCAGCAAGACTCGCAGGCACTCTGTGCTGCCCATGAATGCTGCCCTGTGCAGCAGCGTACGGCTGTCGCGGTCCCTGTCGGTGAGTAGGCTGGGCGGCTGGCTGAGTGCTGCCCTTAGCCGTTGCACGTCGTTGCGATCCACTGCTGAAGACGCTTCCTCCAGCAAGCTCATCTGCAGGAAGAGCCAGCCATGGTTGTGAGCGGCGCTGGCCAAGAGCGGGTCGCCTGCCCAGCGTGACGGCACCAGCCAGCTTGCCTTGTGCGTGCTTCAAATGAGTGCCAGGTGCCTGCTGGGGCCCGAGACAGCAGCCAGCAGGAGAGAGCAGAGGAGCTGTGGCAGTCAAGAGACCTTGGTGCGGCTGGGGGCTCTGCCTGGCTCGTCCAAGGCTGCAACAGCGCAGAGGCAAAGCATAAGAGCCACTGTGCTGAGCCAGGGCCTGCATCTGGCAAGGCTGAACTTTCCACCGCCACGTCGGCGCTGCCGCTCAGCGCATGCGCTGAGCTCAGAGACCAGCTTGCGTTCAGCTTACAACGAGCCGAACAGTGGAAGAAAGAAGGCTGAAAGCAATAGAGCGAGTGCAAAGTCAACCGGCCCCACCCTCCCCTGCCGCGGCCCCTGCCCCTGCCGCCGCCGTGGCCGCTGCTGCCGCCTCCTCCTCAGCGGCTGCGGCCTGTGCCGCTTCCTTCTCCTTTGCCGCCGCCGCCGCCGCGTCGTCTTCGGCACGTGCCACCACCACCGCCTCTCCCGCCGCCTGCCTGTTGTCCGCCTCCGCCTGCTGCTTCTGCCTCGCCTCCTCCTCCTCCTTCTTCCTCGCCTCCTCCTCCTGCTTGAACTGGAAGCTGGTGGGGCAGCTGCGCAGGCAGGCAGCCAACCGGGGAGGTGGCGTGGTCGGGAGCGGGCGCAGCATGGGGTGCAAGGCAACCACTGTGCGCATCGCTTGCTCGGCCGCCACCGCCAGCCAGGCGGTAGACAGTGGCAGGTGCAGCGGCAGCCGGGCCGGTGCGCTGACCAGGCTGGGGCGCACAGGCAGGGCGCAGCCGCCACGCCACGCGCACAGCCCCAGCCTTGCAGCCTCGCAGCAGGCAGCTGTGCGGCCGCGCAGCAGCGGCAGCGGGCAACAGGCGGGCAGGCGGCAGGCAGGCGAGCGGCCTGGCACGAGGCTGGCGCCCGGAGGGCGGGCGGGCGCGGCAGGGAGGGCGCTCACAGGTCGCGGCGAGTCATGAAGAAAGTGCGGGCGTCGTGGTTGGCGTAATTGCTCTCCAGCTGGCGGGCAGGCGGCGGTACGGATAGCAGTACAGGCGTCAGCCGCTCAGCCCCCAGCTAGCTTCCCAGCCGGGCCCCGGTGCCCAGCCAGCAACCCAGCAGGCAAGGCAGGCTACCGCCGATGCAGGCCGCCACACGGCGCAGGCCGCCGCACGCGTTGCGCCCCCTCCATGGGCGCTCCCCCGCCCGCGCCACCAGCACATGTGTGCAGTGGGGTGGGCTGCCCCGCGGCCCGCGCCCACCTCGCCCCGCGCAACCCTCTCCAGCGCCAGCGCCAGCGTGGGGAAGTCCAGGGCGACGTCCTGGTCGCGGGTGTAAGCCACAGAGGAGCCTGGGGGGGAGGGGAGGCGCGGCGAGGGAGGCGCAGGATATGGGGGGTAGAGAGCGAGAGGGAGGGAGGAAGGGAGGGAGGGAGGGTGAGAGTTTGTGTGTGAGTCGATGTGCCTGCCTGCGCGCACACCGCAAGCGCTGCTCCCCGTTCGGTGGCAAGCAGCTGCGCCTCGGCCCCGCCCCGCCCCGCGCCGCCTCACCCCGCTTCTCCTTCTCGTAGACGCCGGTGAAGGTGTGGTTGCGGTCGGCCACCAGCCTGCAGCCGCCACAGCACGCACAGCGCAGCGACGCATGGAGAAGGCCTTATGCGGCGACCAATCAACCTGCCCTGGCAATGCAGCTGCAGCCGCTGGTTTCGATGCTTCGTGCACCCCTTGCTGCGCTGGCAGGCTGCGCACGCCGAGGCTTGCGCCAGCCTGGCGCCAGCTCACCTGAAGTAGCCGCTGTTCACGCTGTGGTCGATCGCGTACCAGTCGCTGCGGTACAGTGGTACGGCAGTACGGCGGTACGACAGGTGAGCGACGAACGACGCACAGCAGCAGCCCGGAGCAGCAGCAGCCAGCGCAGGGCAGCATCAATCAATCAAAGCATGGGCAGCAAACCCCCTGCTCCACACGCCGCCACCTCAGGCAAGGGGGCCGCAGCTGGCGGCGCGGCCTCCACTACGGCAGCAGCAGCAGCAGCAGCAGACAAGGGGGAGGCCCGGGCGCCCACCTGAAGTATTGGTCCGCCCAGGTGCAGCCCTTGCCGTGGAAGTTCCAGGGCAGCACCTCCACCAGCGCGGATCCGTTGGGCATGAAGAAGGCGAAGTTGTTGCCGGAGCCGTGGGTGTTGACCTGGGGGGTGGGGGTTTAGGAAAGGAGGTGGGAGGGCGGGGAGGATGGAAGGGCCGGGTGTTGGGAAGGGCCGGGTGTTGGGAAGGGCTGGGTGGTGGCGAAGGGAGGGGAGGAGGCACGCCCGCCGCGGCGGTGGACGGAGAGCGCTGGGAGGCACGCGGGGCGGGGGCTGCTCACCAGCGCGTGCACGTTCTGCACTTGCGCCAGCAGGTCTGGAAAGTTGTCAGGGGTGCCGTCTGGCAGCAGCACGCAGTCCACGCTCCTGCGCTCAGGCGCGCAGTGCAGGCAGTACAGCAAGTGGCGGTGCGGTGCCGGCTGCCGGCACAGCGCGGCCAAGCCGGAGAGAGCGGCGCTGCTGGCTGCTGCCGGCTGGTGCCGGCTGCTGCTGCTGCTGATGATGTTCCAGAGGTGCTGGGCTCGGCGGGGGGCAGCACGCCAAGCAAACCAGGCTTGCCCCACCGCCTGCCGGCTCCCCGGGAGGGTCCAGGGCAGGGCAGCCCGGCGTGGCACAGCGTGCTGCAGCGCAGCAAGAGGCCCATATGCAAGGCAGCCACCCCGCCCGCTCCTCTCCTGACCCCGCCCCCGCCCCGCCCCGCCAGCCCCGCTCACTTGAACCTGGTGTCCGCCGGCGGCTTCCACTGCTTGCACTCCTGCGGGGGATCAAGGCCGGTAGGAGGGTCCCAGGTAGGGTGCAATTGGATTGGGCCGGCTGGCTGGTTGACAAGGCATTCAATTTGGTATGCGGTTGCCGTGCAGCAGGCACACGCGCCCACACACACACACAATACACACACAAGCACACACACACACCTTGACCACCGCATCCAGGTTCACAATGGTTCGCAGCCGGGTGCGGGGCTGGAAGGCGACGCGGAACACCGTGCCTGCAGTGCAGGGCGGGGGCAGGCGGCGCAGGCGGGCCTCAGCAGGCCTCAGCAGGCGGCAGAGGCTGCACAGGCGGGCCTCGGCAGGGGCCGCACACACGCAACGGCACCCCCGACAGATGGACCAGGCCGTTGATTTGATGGTGGAGATGTTGAAGGGGAGGGGCCGTGCAGCTGGCAGGCTGACCGGGTGCAGGGCGGGCACGATCCCAGCCACAGCGCCAGCCACGTGGCGGCGCCATCCCCGCACCGTTCTCGGCTTCCGCCAGCTTCTCGTGCACCAGGAAGCGCTCGGGGTACTTGCGGCGGTAGTGCTCCACCGTCTGCGGTACCGAGCAGTACCGCCAGGCCAGGCCGCAAGCAAGTGCGCGCTGCTGTGAGGCGGGCCGGCAGCCCAAACAAGCAGCACCAAGCCCGGGCCCGGCGCAGCACGGTGGTAGCAGTCGGCCAGCCCCGAGCGCCATTCATTGCGATGCCCCGCATGCCCGGACCCCAGCCCGGCCCCCAGCCCGCCCCGCCGCTCACCCGCCGCCCCGTGACCTTGGGCCTCAGCTGTCCCCAGTGGTGCCCACCGCTGGCTGTGTACATGCCCACCTGCAGCATGCCCACAGGGCAGAGCAGCAGGCAGGCAGGCACGGCCTCTTGGGTCGTGTGCGGAGCGGGGGGGGGGCGGGGGGGG